GTGTTTGATGGGGGAACCCTGGTACACCAAAAAAAAAAAAAAAAAAAAAATGAATTCAACCATGAATATACTACAAAAACTTCTATAATCTATCAATTTAGGATAGTTGGTAATTAAGTCGACGGCTAATGTAATATAAGGTCGAATGATCAATTGTTGTAAGGTGTGTCAAGTTAAAGAGTTTTGAGTTAGATATTCTTAGAGTAAAAGTCAAACTTTGCGAACACGATTCATCCTAGCAAAAATTTGGGTCTAATCTCCCTTAGCATGTGATAGTGTAAAATACGGGCTTATTATTGGCGTAAACGTACAGTACAATTAAGATACAGCGATGTGTCAATCCTGTTGACCGCCTTTTTCCTTGCCTGCTTGTAAGTCTAACTAAGAAAGCCCAGTCAACGCGACAGTGGGTCAAAGGTTCCCAGACTTCGTAGCTGTCGTCTAGGTAAACAGCAAAAAGACCCCCCCGATAGCAATAAATGCGGTATATATAGCTGACCAAGGGAACAGCTTCCGACCTACCAGCATGCCTGCCGCGTGGCATCCAGGGACGAATGTGCCCTACTATTCTCAGCCGCGTGGCCATAGATTCCTGACTGCTTGCATGCTGGTCAGGACATCACGACATGCATGAACAGCCCGACCTGTATAAATCGAGGGAGAAGAAAATAACAAGCGCTTTAGGAGTGCCCCTCGTGCAAGCTCGGTATACAAAGATGGTCGGGAAGATCATTCATCTGCCTCGAAGTTGGTCAGTACAAGTTGAATCAGGTACATACGTTTAGAACCGGTTAACGCACGAGCCCGATATTCGGAGAATAATTCCTATCAGCATGAGTCCAATTTTATAAACATAACTTGTCCTAATTGGATCTCCAAGTAGGAGCCAAATTCTGTGGGCACCAGATGCTGTATACAAAAATAAATAAATAAAAACCTCCCTACTCGTAGCCTCGTAGGTAGGGTGAATGAAGAATGGTTTTTACGGGGAAGTTAATTGCTTGGAATCTTGGAACATGATCATTAAACTTGACGAAACCTTAACTAGCGAGCCATGTCTCTTACCGGCCAACAAAATCGGTTACTTGATTGAGGAGGAAGTAAGATGTTAAAAAGTCTATCTTTTGTATGGAAAAAAATTTCGTAGTCACTACTAAAGAAATTTTTGTTTGTGTAATGACCTAATAAGATACACTAGGAAGACCAATATATGTGACGAACTCAATTAAAACAATATTAATAAAAATTATAATTATGATTTTTGTTTTAAAAATTATGTTTTACCTACTTGATTATCTTTTTAAGACATTTAAAAAGCCTATACACCCGCCATAATGTTTGGTCGTAAATGGTGATCTTCACTTCCTACCTTTTTCATCATTGTTCACAGGAAAGTTACATTACACCATACTAATTAATCACCTGAAAATCAGCATCACCTTGAAATTTGAAATAAGTAATAATTTTTCTCGGATCACGAGGTGCCCTAAGCAAACCCTAACTATAAGAGGCATTTTTAAGTCGGCCAATTATGCTATGGAAACGTGCCTACCTTGCAAGGTGGGCACGGTCTACAATAGCGTCGTTTTTGCCGTTAATGGTGTTTCTCTCTTCGCAATCGCACAGTTTAGAAATTATAAATCTATTGTATTTACATTATGAATCTACAGTATAGAAATTATGAATCTACAGAATTAGGTTTGTGAACATGTGATAGAGTTATATGTTCATAATTTTATAAATATATGTTCACAATTATAGAGTTATATTCCCAATTGTTGAACTCTGGATTCACAAATCATGGAACTATATGTTCATAATTTGATAACTATACAGTTTAGAAATTATGAATTTACAGTACAGAAATTATGAATCTACAGTACAGATATTATGAATCTGCATTATTGAAATTATGAATCTACTGTATAGATTTTATAAATCTACAGCATAGAATTTATGAATCTATAGTATAGAAATTATGAATCTACAGTATAGAAATTATGGAAGATAACGGTGCGTGCCACTAACAGCACCGTTACTCAACCACATGAAAACGGCGTCGTTTGGAACCACGCTCATCTTGCAAGGTGGGCACCGTTCCACAGCTTAACGATTGCTTTAAATTCGTATCATACTCAGACTAATCCTCGTTCGCATCGGACTGGTCCAATCAAGGGCAAAGTGCTAATATTATTTGACCAATCAAAATGCGTGAATGTAAGATTGTTGAATGTGCGACACGCGGCAGGACTGTTCACTGAAACTCTCATGAGATAGTTGAAGTTAAAACCGCGAGGGGGATTTCGTATCTGGGAATCGATCGAAGACAAAAACCTAACCTCGGTCTATCTACCTGCGCTAGCTAGCTGCTTATAAAAGAGAGAGAAGCTAGGGCATGCAAGACAGTCGTCATATCACGCGAACATATATAGTAAGAAAGAAAGTAAAGGCTGTACGTACGATAAATGCATGTATGTCAGCATGGGAGTAGGGATGAGTTTACGTGTCGAGGATGAAGCGGCTCCGCCGTGACTTGGTGGCTCCACCACACTTATTTGTCAACAGGGGAAATCGCCAGTTTTCACAATGCCATTGGCTTCGGCTTCTGGGAATGGAATGCCTGAGATGATGCGACGGATTGGAGAAGCCTGATATGATGTAGTCGCTGCTTGTACTCGACCAAGTGCCTCTTAATTGTCTCCACGATAAATGGAATAATCACTTTAATTAATTTCTACCATACATAATAATTGATGGATTTAATTAGTCACACCGAATTATTAAATCCGATAATAATAGAAGGAAAAGACAAAGAATATATGTTGCTAAGACAATTCTTGTATTGATAGTAGTTTGTAGGAGAATTATAAGGGTTGTAGTAATAGAATCGATTAATTGTAGATAAGAGATGTCCTAACAAGACAACGATTGATGCTTTATATTAAAGTCCCCTCCAACCACTCCCATGAGAAAAGGGCGGGCAGTTAGATTAGGGTAAATGAGTCGAGCCACTCGCGAGCGGCTCGATCAAAGCTAGGCTCGAGCTTGGTCAAAATCGAGCTCGAGCCGAACTTGAGCAGCTCGTTTGATAATCGAGCTCGAGCCGAGCATAGATATTCCAGGCTCGTGGCTCATCGAGCCGCTCGCGAGCCGTATAATATATAATATTTATAATATATAATATAACATAATATAATTATAATTATAATTATAATATTATAATATATAAAAATAACAATTAAAAAGTTCAAGATCAAGCTCGAACTCGAGCAGCTCGAAAATTGCCGAGCTCAAGCTCGAGCCGAGTTTCCATTAACGAGCTCGAGCTCGAGCCTACCCACGCTTGAACTCGGCTCGACTTGTTTACATCCCTAGGTTGGATCTCCTTTGATCGAACCCAGGCATGCGGTCCTCTCGGCCAGGACGAGGTCACCTTGGGCCTAAGCTGCCTCCAGCCGAGGTCTGAGGTCGACTAACCGAGGTCGCCTCCAGTCATGGTCTGAGGTCGACTAACCGAGGTCGCCTCCAGTCGTGGTTTGAGGTCGACTAGCAAAGGTCGCCTCCAGCCGAGGTCGCCTCCAGCTTCCTCACCTCTTCAGGTTGATATGTTCCGAGCCCGTTTCTAATAATAATAATAATAATAATAATAATAATAATAATAATAATAATAATAATAATTTTATTATTATTATTATTATTATTATTATTATTATTATTATTATTATTATTATGCCACAAAAAGGATTGACCCAGTGGAAGAATCATGATCATGATTCTAATTATATTTAAAGATCACGAATCATTTTGGCGTAGCCCATTGTATGGAGTTTTCATATCTTTTATGTGTGATTTGTAAAATCATTTTGGCGTAGCCCGTTGTATGGAGTTTTCATATCTTTTATGTGTGATTTGTAAGTTATTATACATGAACAATGTAACTCTCAGGTGATAACGACCGGTTTCTCAAAATCAAATTGTCAACCCATGCTACTTGAAAGGTGTGTAAACATGTTAAACTTCATTATAATATTTCAAAGAAAAATGTTATTTTCTCCCTATTTTTGCCTCATAATAGTTTACAATGTTGCTCTTTACCTGCATTGGCAACCTATGGTTAACTTTACTAGGTAGACAAATTTCCCCAATTCCACACACCACTGGTTAAGTTAGAAGAGACTCGGGTTATTTCATCTACACTTTTATGAATTGAACGCTAATTCATTTACATCCTGAATATGCATCATTTCTTTTAGACTCAAATTGGGTCAAACACTAATTGAGAAAGTCCTCTCCCAACAGGATGGCCTTTTTAATTTGTTACTCCGTATATATTGGTTGCATGTCTTTATTGACGACATTGATCCTCAAGAATCCTTCCCTTTCACATCGGCATTTTGTGTAAAGCGCTTTTGTCCGAGTAAAAGTTTCCATGGTCCATTTCCTGTGTCATTTTCTGACTACTGAAATATCCAAGAAACTTCCTCTTCCTTGCATTGTAACAAATTACTACTGACTCTATTACAATGCAGTATCTGTTCATAACTATTTTCTCAACTTACTGAAGCACAAAAAGTCAATACCGCCTCAAACCCACAATCTCCCATATAGGAGAGCAACTTGGTGCTACTAAATCACAAGGTCATTGGCTCGTCGTTTTTCTTTTTAATTTACAAGAAAACTCAGAACTGCTATCCAAAAATGCACTCTTAATGAAACTCACTTTGTAACTCTAACCAACAAAGAATCTTAAGAAGGTAAATCAGTCTAAGTTTCCTATAGCTGACCAACTCAAATCAAGGACAATAGACAGCTCACGAGTGGAATCGAACTTGAAACCTTGTAGTTACTAAGCGAATTGTTGTCTTTTTATTTGGCTTATTATTTGTGTTACAAAATTCTCTTATACAAAGCAATGGGAAGAAATGAACAAAATTAGTACAGATACAAAAACGTATAGGAATGTACAATTTTATACCACCATGTAACAGCAATTTAATTACTTTACTGTAGAAAATAGAGTGTTTTCTACAGGAAGTGGAGATTATTACAACAAAAATGGGGCTCAAAGTGTAACTCTGTGTGCTTGAATCCCACCATACCATCAGATTTACCCAAAAAAATAAAATAATACAGGTGGAAATACATGCTATGAATCAAATTTCAAGCAAAATTCAAAGTTTAACCTTGTCCAAGACAAAATTGGTATATACAGAGAAGGTGTAGAAGACTATCAATTGCAGAGCAACCATTGTTATTGACCATTTGATAAAGGATGTTACCTAACCGGAGGTGTTCTTTCTTGCAATGTAAGAGCGATATGCGGCCATTCCAACTACACCTATAGCAGCCGCAACTGATATTTGAATTGAGAGTCAGGGATTTGAATGAAAAAATGAAAAGCGAGCGATCCTAATGAGCATTCTGTTGAAAACTAATTCGAGATACCTGAGGCGACCATCAGAGAGCGATTGATAAGCTGGCGATACCGCTTCTGGTTGCGACCAACTTCAGTTTCGGGGACGCTCAAATGAGGGTGTTCGGCGGCATTCACAATTCGACTGAACACACTGTTCAGATCCCTCTCCTTCACACTAATGTGAATAGGTGAATCAATCCCAAAATACTGGAATATCTGTAGCAATTCAAGAAAGAAAAACTCACATCTTGATTAGGAAGCAATTCTTTTTGACATCTTTACACAGAATATTAACGGTCAATGCGGTACAGGGATGATACAGAATAAATTAAAGTGGAACCAAGAACAAAAGATGATACCTTTGTAGAATCTTTTATTGCCATTGGATATGTATCTAAATCATCCTTTGCAGCAATAAACAGACAAGGCACACTTAAACCAGTAACTTCCCCTTGCCTTGCTACGTCCATTAGCAATTCTGAAGTTCTTTTTAGAGAATATTCATCTGAGCTGAAGAGAAATGAATAATGTGAAAAATGCTAGGCATATCAGGCTAAGAACAAGGAAAGATTAGCAGAAAGTGCTAAAGCTGTATATTAAAGTGGAAGGCCCAACTAAAATAGTGTTGGTTGCAGATGTGGGGTCTGGAGAAGCAAGATGGAAAATCGAGCTTCAAAGAACCAAAAGTAGCTGCAATGGAGTTGAAGTCATGAACATGATGAAATGATCCAATAAGTTTGGTTACACAATCCAGTAGGAAATCAGACATCACAAAGTTAGATGCGTTTTACCATTTGTACATATATTTGGTCTAGCATCGAGTAGTATGTTTTAATTTACTGAAAATGAGACATTGCCCTGTTTGGCAAAATAGTTAGCTCATCAGCCAATTTTGGCTTATTTGATCACTATTAGCTATTTGACTTGGTTAAAATATCAATATAAGTGTTTGGTTAATCAGCTTTTTTTTTAACTCCAGAATCTTAAAATTAAAAAAGATACTCAAAACAATTTTTTCAATTAGCTTTTTGATAAAAAAAATTATACCAAACAGCTATCAGTTAACAGCTAATTTACCAAACACTTTCTAAAATCAGCTAATTTTATCAACTAGTTATACCCTCTAACCCAAACAGCTAACAGCTATCAGTTAACAGCTAATTTACCAAACACTTTCTAAAATCAGCTAATTTTATCAACTAGTTATACCCTCTAACCCAAACAGCTATCAGCTAACAGCCATTTACCAAACAGGGTCATAGTAGATTGAAACTTTCAACTGCTTTCACAAAAAATGATATATCGTCAAATTTCATCCAAGTGCAAACTGACGTGAATCTGCCCACATATGATTAGTTATGATAAAAATAACTTTTGAGTTAATACCCAAAATCGTCCTCGACTATAGTGGTTTTTCTCAATTTCGTCCTAAACGACTTTGGTGACCTAATATCGTCCCAGACTTTTGTGTTTCGCTCAATTTAGTCCCAGACTTTTGTGTTTTTCTCAATTTAGTCCCTCATTTGTTATTCTGTCCATTTGGTGTTAAATAAATAGACAATTCAGTAATTTTAATATTGGCATCTCTTTACTCATAGACATGTGAACTGCGAAATCCTTTTTTTTTTACGAATTACCACCAGAATTACTCCTAAAACTGCGAATATAAAATTTGATTTGCAGGTCCGGGAGTAATTCTGGGTGTAATTCGTACAAGAAAGAGGATTTTCGCACTTCACAAGTTGAAAGTAAAGAGAGATCAATATTGACATTACTGAATTGTCCCTTTATTTAACACCAATTTGACGGAATAACAAATGGAGGACTAAATTGAGCGAAACACAAAAGTCTGGGACGATATTAGGTCACCAAAGTCGTTTAGGACGAAATTGAGAAAAATCACTATAGTCGAGGATGATTTTGGGTATTAACTCAATAACTTTTTATACCAACCTGTCATATACAAACACTGCTATGTCACAACTTGCCAAAGACTCCTTAGTAGATAATAATTTTTTGATTCCATCTTCTGGAATCTCCCGAAGGACAAGCGTTTTCTTAATACCCTGCAAAAAGGGTAAATCATTCATCATAGCAATGTTATTTAAATTTCAATGAACTAGATAATGTGGTGTTTCACAGATGCAGTGCATAATCAAATTATGTTACACTTGGAGAACTTACCCCAGGACAGTCAACAGCGTTGACAACATACCGCTCTTCACTCGTAGGTACATAATCATCAGTGAAGGGCCTGTACTTGATCACATCAACAAAATTTAAAACATAAATTTGATATTAATGATATGGCTTCTGGATAATCAGTAGGTTTGAGAGAGAATGACAAGAACATCCAAAGAAAGGAATTTATTTAGTTATAGGTCCATTTCTGCACCTTCCCAAAAATGACTTCAGTAAAGAAGACTTTCCAGCATATTTAGGTCCAAACACAAAGCATTGATAAACATTTCTATCTGACTGCTGTTTTTTACGGTCTACTGATCTGCGCCTAGTAACACAGAGTGCAGATGCTGAATCACAGTTATACCCGATATATGTTAAGTTCGCCAAACTTTGTGATGGCTCCAGTAATGTCATAAGAGCCCACTGCAATAAATGTAAGCGAGATAAGATTCCTGAATATTAGCAGGAAAATGCTCAAATAAAATAAAGATAAAGCCAAAAATAAAACACCATATATAAACTAGCACAGATTTTACAGTTACTACACAATTAATTGTTGCAAATATTGACATGTAGAGCAGGAAGATTTTAATGCTTGTCCAATTTGTCAGTTCTTCAAAACACTTGGTAAATAGCAAAGATGAAAAAGAAAGCCAATTAAAAATCTCAATGGTCTGGTCTATATCCAAAAAAAAAAAAAAAAAAAAAAAAAAAAAAAAAAAAAAAAAAAAATGTTGCATCAGTGAAAGTGTGAAGCTAAAAAAAAAAAAAAAAAAAAAAAAAAACTAAACCAAAGTTACTGAACTTGACAAAAAGAATTAATGATGAATAGACAGAAGAGACCCAGATCCAACATGAATGAAATAAAATAAAATGGTTGATAAGCCTTAGCATATTATTACAGTATCACACAGAGAGGAAAGGGCTTTGCACAGCATCGAAAGGGAAGAAGAGATGGGTTTCAGTCATCCAAACCTCAGACAAGAATGCAGAAAGTGATAAACCCCCTAATGGAGTTCTTTCAACTGCCTCCTTGTAGGGAGTTTCTTCCCAGGGACTGAAATATTAAACATTAAAGCCATATCAGAAAGGTGTTAGAAGAAAAGGATGGGAAAGACTGAACTGGTGTTTATTTGCAATACCCACACACAGATTATCAATTTTAATCACTATCTTCTTCACAAGGTATAGCTATGAAGTCATGTAATATTATTCACAAAGATGACTAATCAAGCTATTTCATTACAAGCTTTGTAGCACTTTTGCCAGGAAATGGAAATAAAAGTTGAGGGGGTATCCATGTACACCATTATCAAAGAGGTGAATAGCAAAATTGTAATCATGCCACAAGTGAAGGATTCCTACCTTTCTGGTGCAGTAGAAAATAGATCGTCAAGCTCAGAATTTCGAAGAACTCCATCCTGTCAAGCATAGAGATACGCAAATTTAGGAATATAGCAAAAGTCATAACTAGGATTTGAAGGAAACATTTATGATGACAAACATATTATGTTTAGGAGATTTAAAAAAAAAAAAAAAAAGGTTTAACATAAAATGAAACAAATTTAAAACCCACAAATCATATCACTGGAATAAAAGCAATCCCCTTCCACTGAATAGTAAAATGGAAATATAACAAAGAAAAAGACAGAATCCATACTTTATCATCATCAAATGTACTAAAGATCCCCTTCAAGAACTCAACAGCTTCACTAGTCAATTCCATGCTCTGCAAGAAGGCAAGAACACAATCAGAAAGAACTGAACAAATGTGAAAAATACATCAATAAACGTCAAAATGTGTTTGTGCATGAATAATGCAAAGTTGTCCACAGAATTGAATTGTAAAAATATGATGAAGATTATCAAATTGAGAGCTGCAGATGTATAGAAAACACTGGTGTCCATAAATGAACACATTTCATACCCAAATGATTTGACTTCAAGGAGTCAAGGTCACATATGTCCCTCACTGGTCAAGATGAATTAGCAGTTCAACTTACAAAGCAATTAATTAATGAATGTTTTTGTAAACTCAGTCAAGATAATATGTGCAAATAATGGCTAAATGAATAATAACCATATCTCTCCAAGTTTACTCTTGGAACCTTCAAAAAAATTAATTCATATTTATGGCTATTTATCTCTCTTCAACCCAATTAAACAAGGGCACCCGCTTCCCCCAACTAAACACACAAATTTGATGTGGAAAAAAAAAAGATATAAAGAATTAAGTTAGACCAAGCAAACACGTCTTTTGATAGCATACAAGAAATAAACTAACTGGTTGAGTAAAAGACTTACCTGATCTAGAGCCTTTTTGAATGGAATAGACAAATAATCATCCCTCAGTTTAATTTCATCATTATACCCAAATTTCCTTAAGACAGTCCAGGTTGTCTCAAGTCGACCTTTTTCTATAAAAAGAGCATGAAGGAAAAGAAACCCAGTCAAAGTAAGCCCAAGGTCATTGACACCTGCTGGTAGCTTCTCCTGTACTACCCGTTTAACTCCTACTATTTCAGCTGGCTGAAGCGCTGCATTGAAACATTTGACCTGTCCACGAAGATGGTTCAAAATAAGAGAGAGCACAGTGCCAGAGAACTATAACACTTCATAAGAAAAATTATACCATACTTTAGCAAATTAAACGACACTAGAGCAAAGAATGACCTGAAAGTCATTAAGCTCTTCATCATTGAGAGCACCATCCTCATCATGATCACAAAGGCTAAATATCCTTTTTAAAGCCCTCACACAACGAGGTTTAAGAGCCTGGATTTCATGATCAAAGAGTGGAGCTGTTGGATGAAGTACTGCCTTTTGTGCATAATAGAATACTTCAGGTACCTATGAAGAATAATGGAAACATAACTCACAGTCAAATACTAAACAAGCATGCAAGATGAAACACAAAGCAATACAACCTTCCTGGTGACAGACCTGAACCAAATTAGCTGCAGAGCATTCTATGCAAGTCTCAATCTCCCGAAACTGCTGCATGATAGGAGCCATCGCCTGCTCTAGATTCATATGATGCTCCTCATCTCGCTTATCTAGCTTGCATCCAACAACAACGACTGGTGCCTTGATCTATCCATTGTTAATAAAATTGCAGTCAAATCAGTACATCTAGAGAATTTTTGTTCAATAATTAGCATTAAATATTAGGAAAAAAAAACACACAAACCACATTGCCAATACTAAAAGAAGGCTGGGAATTTCCTTCAAAGCCAACTGAAAGTTAGTAATGGAGTGTTTCATTAATTCATTCCAATGGTATTTGATTTCTAATCCGGAGTCATTAAGGGGACGTTTGGTTCATGTTATATAGGATAACCAAGGTTATATTTGCTTGGTAATATAAGATTCTCGTGTTTGGTTCAGGTTATGTAACTTTCCTAGAGAATGTCAGATAACCTCCGCATTAAGTTGTTTTTAGCTATTGGAAGGGAATTGAATTACCCTCCAATTTCTTAGGTAATCTCACATTCCCTTGTCTTATTACTAATGTTGGGCTTTGTATTTTTTTAATCAATTTATCTCATTATTGTTGTCTTATTTACATATCTTAGTTTTAAATCAAACACAGCAATCTAACATTCCCTAAAATCTAACATCGCGTGAACCAAACACCCCCTAAAAGGGACCAAACAAACATCTCTAGAACTTCAATTCCAATTACTTGCCTCTAAACTGAGCAGATTGAATCATAGGAAATGAGTGAAAATAGAACAGGAAAATGTTATTTGAATGTTAGTTTTATTGAAGTAAAAGATGCATCGAACATAAAAATAGTTTTTTTTGTGAAGCATAAACAATAGTATTATTCCGTGAACAAAGAAGATGCATCAAATTGATAAATAAATAAATAAATAAAACCTCCAGCCGACGAAATTCGTGAAGCCAGAAAGTGCTTAAGCGATTCAGAGTGGCAGGTTGATCGCAGGCATAGGTCAACACTACTGAATCCGCCCGCTTCAATTCTTCGGCGAGCTTACCTCTGCTCTCCAAACTAGATCGCACGTGACATTGAATATTATAATTATAATTAATTAATTATAATCAGAAAGGCAAACTAAGCAGAAGCAGTATCCGAACGAAACGACTTTGAACGAACCTGGATGATGTATCAATGATTGTGACGGGAACGTTCTCCGGATAGAGATCCGCGGGGAGGCGAGTGGGAGGAAGCACCGGCGGGAGATCTTCAGGGAATGACTCAGAAGCGGCGGCGGCGATGAGGCTGGACTTGCCGGTTGCGCGGTCTCCGACGACCACCACTCGGACGTTGGTGCGGCCGCCGGAAGTTGAAGTGCCTGGCATTGGATCGGAGTGGGCGTGGGGAGACACGGAAATGGATTCGCTGCAATCCTAGGAGTGTAGAGTGATGAAACGAGCTTGGTAGTGCGTATTTTTCTTTTCTTTTCCCTTTTTTTTTAAGGTTTCCTTTTCTCCAATGCAATTATGACGTAATGGGCAGTTTTTAGAGTATCCATCATTTTTAGGGGATTTTCAGTGACATCATTATTTCATATTTATCTATGTATTTAGTTTCCTATGCAAATATCATTCAATTCAATATTTTTGAACATGTACTAAAAAGAATATTTTTTAACATGGCCCTTGTTTAGCAAAGTTTATTTATAAATGTATAGCTTTTTTGAAGTTATTAATTACTAATAAATTATAAGTTATGTTTGGTAATGTTTATAAAATAAGTTAGTAGCTTAAAATAAGAGTTTATTTTGAAAAAGTATTTTAGATATGAACATATGAAGTATATTCTCGTACTAAAAGATTACATGTTTGATTATTGTTAATATTTTTTTTCTTAATATAATTTACATAACGTATGTAGAAGTATGCAAACTATTACACAAGAGTGGATCCATGTGATTTTAAACTCATAAGTTTCATGTATAACCTACAAAGGCGAAAATGCAGTGACCATTGAGTGCTACCCCAACAAGCTCGTGAGGTAAGTTACAAGTTTGATTATTAGCGTGTGCGGTTTATTCTTATTCGTTCGAGTTGTCAATTATGAGTAATTTATGTTGGTTTAACACTTTACGATATTTTATCGGGTATGATTACAAGACAAGGTTTACTTAATGTGCAACTTTTGATAATAGATACGAATTTCTGTTTGTCATTTAAATAAAGAGCGACAATTTACATAATGTACCTACCGTCCAAGATACAGTGAAGGTATTTGTTGATGCTGCAGTATTCTCCGATTTGAACCAAGCTTTTTATGGCATATTAGTCATGGATGGTAACGATGTTTTTATAGCAGCGAAGAGTGGTCCGCTTCGATGCCTAAACGATCCCCATCTGACTGAGGCGCTTGCTGTGAAGGAAGCCCTTTCTTGGTCAAGAGAGAAAGGTCTCACAAGAATTCAGGTTTTTACTGATTGTCAAGTTGTTTGCGGGTTTATTAATGGCGCTTTCCCAGATCTTTCATACGCAGGATGTGTAATCCGTGACTGTCGTGATCTTCGTCGACACTTTGAAGTGGTGTCTTTTAGTTACATTACTCGGTCAGTGAATAAGTTAGCCCACGCTCTTGCGAGGGATGCTCGTTCTCATACTGGCGTTTCTAGTTGGTCTATTTCTATTCCCTGTTGTATTGCACACTTAATTTAATACAAACTTTTTCTTTAGTTTTCAAAAAAAAAAAAAAAAAAAAAAAGAGCGACAATTTAGTAAATATTATAAATTTTGAATGCGGTGATATTACAATCCATTTAATTTGAATGTACTTTTACAAATCATGAGTGCATTGCTACAAATTAGCAAATGAAACGTAAGTGCTACTATATTTGTTTCTTTTTTTTTTTTTTTCTTATTTTGCATGTAGGAGTTTACTTTTTTCGCCTTTGCTTATACATTAAACTTATGAATTTAAAATTACATAGATTGACTCTTGTTTAATAATTTATTTACATACTCGGTAAACTATATTAAGATTTTTTTAAAAAATAAATTAACAATAATCAAACACATAATCTTTTAGTACAATCTTATGTCATGGAACCCTGGTGAACAAGGTCCCAACGGTGTTAGTGCACCGTTATCTTCTTCTTCTTATATATATATATATATTTTTTTTTTTTTTAATTTTCTTAATTAATCGCGTGACTTTTCTTCTTCATTTTCACATTTCGCGGTTTCACTTTAATTTGAGGTGAGCAATGATTTCGAACATTCATAAATTATGAATCCATGCCTGCACATTCACTTTGGAACTATGCCTACACATTCCCGTCCGAAACCATGGTTGCTCCTCTGTAGCGCAAGCTTCTTCAACATTCATAAATTATGAATTTTCTGTTATGAGATTATGAATTTTCTGTTATGAGATTATGAATTTACAGTACATTCATAATCTCATAACAGAAAATTCATAATCTGACCAAACGCGCGCCGTTAACACTACATCCGCGAGTGTTTTTTTTTTTTTTTTTTTTTTTTTTTTTTTACGTAAAAACAGCGCCGTTTGGACCCGTGTTCACCACGTTTCCGGGGCATAATTTGCGGCATTGAAGATATAGATACTTTGAAGATCTTCAACGGAGGCCCATGATCTTTGAATCATTATTTTGAATCCTGGGTAACAGTCCAGGAACATTTCAGTGTTCATATTCCAAGCCCAAATGTGCTGCCCTTCTCAGAAACAGGGCAGTGGAAAAAGATGAAAATGCTTCTACGTTTGGCTCGGACATCCGTCGCCGCCGTGCGCCACTTCTCGGCGGAAGCAACGGCGGTGGAGGCAGCGACGAAGCCCACGGCTGCAGGAGGCGGCAGCGGAAGTCACACGGCCACGAGTAAGGGCGGCAGGGACACTCTGGGGAGGAGGCTTCTAAGTCTCGTGTACGCTAAGCGTAGCGCAGTCATCACTATACGGAAGTGGAAGGAGGAGGGCCACGCCGTCCGGAAATACGAGCTCAACCGCGTAGTAAGGGAGCTCCGGAAGCTCCGGCGATACAAACACGCCCTCGAGGTATTGCTTCAGTAACCCAAACATAAATTCAAAAAAAAGTTAATATTTAAAAAAAATTTCTTTCAATTTGGATCGCTACTCTCTTTGTTAATTCATCGATATATGCATTTCTGTTGCTCAATACGTTATATAATGCTTTATTTCGGCTGAATGCAAAGGATTTTTTTGGACTCGGTTTGCTGGTGATCTTGAAGTAGATGAAGAATGAAACTGCATTTTATGTGTTTGTTGTTTTGTCTCAAACAAAAAAGCTTTTGCCTTTAAAGCCATCTATTGATTCTTTATGTGTTTTATGTGTTTGTTGTTTTGAAAATTAATCTTTAGCTGGAAACTTCTAAAGATTAATTAGCTGGAAATGCTTTGCTTTAGCTAATGGTGAATATGTATATATGGTATAAAGAAGATATGATGTGAAATCAAAGGATAATTGAGTTTCATTCTTCTTCAAAAACCATCATTTCATTTATTCTAGTGTTTATTTTTTAATTTGTTGTTAGTAGATATACTTACAGATATCGCGAGATTTCTTCACAGGTTTGTGAGTGGATGAGGATACAAGATGATATCCACCTTTTATCGGGGGATTATGCTGTGCATTTGGATTTGATTGCAAAAGTTCGAGGAATGAATAGCGCTGAGAAATTTTTCGAGGATATTCCCGATAAAATGAAGGACCATGCTACGTGTAGTGCCCTTCTCCACTGCTATGTCCAGGAGCAAGACTGTGTTAAAGCCGAGGCTCTGATGGAAAAAATGTCCGAATGTGATTTTGTGAAGCATCCACTTCCTTACAACCACATGCTCTCTCTATACATATCAACTGGGCAATTAGAGAAGATTCCGGCTATGATTCAAGAATTAAAGAAGAATACTTCGCCAGATCTTGTATCATACAATCTTTGGTTGGCTGTATGTGCATCGTTGAATGATGTTGAAACCGCAGAAAAGATCTTCCTTGAGCTAAAGAAGGCGAAAATAGATCCAGACTGGGTAACATTTAGCACATTGACGAGTATCTATATTAGAAGCTCACAGAATGAAAAAGCAGCATCGACTTTAAGAGATATGGAGAAAAGGGTTTTTAAAAGGACTCGAGTTGCTTTTCCCTCTCTCATTAGTTTGTATGCTAGCTTGAAAAACAAAAGCGAGGTTTACCGTGTGTGGAAAAAGACAAAATCTATTTTCCACAAGTTAAATGACTCGGAATACTCCTGCATGATATCTTCCTTACTGAAACTTGACGAATTTGAAGAAGCACTGAAGACATATACTGAATGGGAGTCTGTTTCTGTGACTAAGGACACCCGAATTTCGAATTTAATTCTTGCAGCATATGTTAACAAAAATCAGTTGGGCATGGCAGAGGATTTCAGAGAAAAGATGGCTCAAAAAGGCATACCCACCAGCTATACAACTTGGGAGGTGCTTACGAGTGGTTATATGAAGCATAAAAAGATGAATGAAGCTCTAGATTCATTCAAGAAAGCCGTTGATAGTGTTAAGAAATGGGATCCTGATGTAAAGATGGTCCGGGAGATGTTTAGTATACTCGAAGAGCAAGGAAACGTTGAATTGGCGGAGGATTTGCTTGTTACCCTTCGTTGCGCTGGCCATGTGAACACGGAGATATATAACTTGCTTCTGCGAACCTACATGAAAGCCGGAAAAATGCCACTCATTGTTGCTGAGAGGATGAAGAAAGACAACGTGAGAATGGATACAGAGACCCAAGAGCTCGTTAAATTAACGAGCAAGATGTGTGTAGCTGAAGTTCCTAACCATCTTTCTTAGGAACAACATTTCCGTTCTCGTATCATACAGACTGATTCCTGATCAACAGAGGCTAGACTTTTGTTTACTGCGCACAAGGAGCCTCCCTCATTTTGAGAGGTTGCTCTCACACTGCTGCTGGTGAGACTCGATCATTGGCAATGTTAAAAAAATCGCTAGGCGCCCTCTAGGCGCCTGGGGACCGCCTAGAGCGCCTAGGCGGGCGCCCAGGAGGCCTAGCGCCTAGGTGTGATTTTTGCAACACTGATCACTGGTCTTTTCTAACAAATTTTACCATTGCGACCAGTTAAGCTGTCCATGCAGGCAGCACTCCACAATTTCTTATGAAGTCGATATGAGGTCATAATATGTGATCCCAATCTTCATAAAAAGCATGCTTTGTTTACTCTTTGCAGGCAACCAAAGAACAGATGAATCCAGGTTTTGGTAGGTCATGGTGGTTAAGAAGAATGACATGGAACAGGTTCATATTTGGCACCACTATTGTTCATCTCTTTCTGTTAGCAGTTGACTAGAATTGAAGCCATTAAAATAGAATAAATTTGCTGAGAAAAAGGGCAAAGATTATGTGATTAGTAACTGCAACAACTATGATGGAAGGTGGGGTTTACCAAACCCAACCCAACCTAACCTAACCTATCCACATAATCTCCCACCATGCATTTTTACATGGTTCCTAATGTCACTTTATCTTTTTGGAATTACTCAATTGTCCCCTAACATCAAATATAATTTGCATCAACTCCCTAGGGGATTGGAGCTATCTCTGAATGGGGGCATCGTATAAGATAAAAAAAAAACTTGTAATAGAACAGATATATATGAATGGGATTTAAACCGAGATTTAATTGGATTAATCTTATTATATAGCTTGTAATAGAGCAATTATTTCTTATTTTTTTATTTACAAGAAAACCTGTGGACGCTCTCTAGTGTGCTTTGGTAAAATTTACTTTGTGATCCTAGTCGATAAAGAATCACAAAGAGGTAAACTAACATACGTTTGCACATGTTTGATTGGCTCAAATTAAGAAGGTCAGTAAACAATTACATATCAGTCTTATTATATAAGAGGGTAAACTTGTAGTAGAACTTTCGTTGGATTAATCTTATCGTACAGTATAATGGGGCACGCGATACTTGAGTAGATTACTCTCATCCTATTGGAGGATAAATTTGTAATGAAACAACTATTTTGAAATAGGTCTCGGTTGAATTAATCTTCTTCTCCCAAAAAGTTGAATCTCCAACCTCAATGGCCCCTCACACCCCAGCTCGATAGAGCATTTGGAACACGGTGACTCAATGCCTCACACCCCAGCTCGACAGAGCATTTGGAACACGGTGACTCAATGCCTCACACCCCAGCTCGACAGAGCATTTGGAACACAGTGACTCAATGCCTCAGTAGACATGGCCAAATGCCGGTGTACACAATGGATCTATCCATTTTGAACATAATTCCTACACTGACGCCGCTGAAATTCGAACCTTAATCTTTTTCTTCAAATACTACCTATTAAACTATTGAGATAAGCTCGTGCAGGCTCAATTGAATTAATTTCATTGCACAGGAGGAGGACAAACTTGTAAAGGAGGCAGAGTGGGGAGGATAAACTTGTAAATGGAAACAAAACCAGTCAAATGCAGATCCTAAATTCTTCATTAGATTCAACAAACCAACAACATAAATCAAGTTCGGTCAACTTGCATGATGCTATCACTATTTTATAACACATTCCTTAGCATATATAACCTCTCTCCACCTAAGTATAATTAGTTTCCATTTCAGGTTCAGAGTTGGAACTCACCCAAAACACCAAATCATCTCTCTCTCTCTCTCTCTCTCTAGCAAAACAATGGCAGAAAACGAGGATGTTATCTGCTTTGAAGAAGGCATCTCCTGGCTTCCTTCGCATGTTGTCGACGAAGCTTGTCATCATCACCATTATCAACAAAAGGTCTTCTTCTTTCCTATCTTGAACTTCATTACAGTGTGTTAATGGCTAGCTTTCTTGGTAATCAATTACATATATACCATTTTCTTAATTAATATATTTGGTTTAATTTCTTGTTGCAGGCTCAGTTTGGGTATCCAAAAAGCCGACAACATCGTCCGATGCTCTGTCCGGTAATGAATGTTTTGTGTTTCGGGTCTAATTAAGATCGAATTGTGGGTAGATATTAATTAAGTTGGAGAGGTTAATTAATCAGACATATATGGCTTAACAATCATGGGACTTGTTGTGTTTTCTTCAGAGTTACTCAAGATGTTCCCAGAGAACAAGACATCCACCGAACTGCACGGCGGCGGTGGTGGCCGGAGGACGAGGAATGCAGGCCATCTTCCTAGATTCCGGCAGGTCATGTAGCGGGACCGGCGTTTTCCTTCCTCGTCAAACCGGGACCAATGGCGGCCATTATGCATCAACTAAGCATGGTACAATATTATATATATATGCTACACATTCTTTTTAATATTTACTTTTGGGTTTTGAGGAAATTAAACCTCAGATTATAGGTTCAAACTCCGGTTGTAGAAAATTGATCTAAATACTACCTTGTAAAAGAATCCTTTCTCTGGCACACCAGTCAAGAGAACTGAACTCGTGATATTTTAGTAAGAAATTATTATCTTCTACCCATCTGGTCACCCTTTTCAGAAATAACTTTCAATATTTATTAAACTTATAATATAATGTCATACAATATCGTAACAATTGTCATGTATATGTGTCTATCATGGACAGTTCGTCCTCCTCCTCCAGTTCTCCTCCCTGACCGCGTTGTTCAAGCTCTCAATCTCAATGTGCATGAACTGGGCATGCAAATTAAGCCATGCAGAGGTTTTTTTTTTTTTTTTCCTTTATATCGATCTCTATATCTTTATAGTGTATAATATAATTGGGGAATATACTTATAATTATTATTTTTCTTTGCAGAGAGTGTAAAAAATGTGAAAGGAAATAAGGACTACAACAATAGAAAGAAAGCTAATGAATGTCACTCGCCTGAGATATTTCTTCCCAAGGAGTGGACTTACTAGATATATATATCCCCTTGAACATATTATAAAGAGTAAGTCTTGTGTGTGAGATATGTCTCACATGAAATGTGTAATATTTTTAAGTTGTAATACTTTTTTATATATTAACAAAAAAAATATTATACATTTCATGGTAAAATAGTCTCACGCAAGACTAATTTATATATAAAATGTTGATAAAGTGATGTAACGTAAATAAATTATACTACAGTGTATCTATTATGGTTTAATTTTTATTTTTCATACTTAATTCAAACCATTTTATATTATTGCTCTTGAATGGTTGACAATTTTTACAATATATAATTATTGTGTGGACCACGATAAAAAAACGATATCGTTTCACATAATTTTTTTTTCATGCGATTCACTGCAACATACATTTTTATAACTCATAATGTAAAACATAATGTCATTATTCTAAATCATAAAAACATTATTTTACCCCATAAGTTTCATTATTCTGACATATAATGTACATTATTATAACACATTCACATAAAGTACATTATTCTAACGAGTTAATTCCACCGGAGGTCTCTTGTTTTTGGTGGCAATTTCAAATTTAGTCTCAGACTATCGTTTTGCCATTTTACATCCTAGACTATCGTTTTTTGGACACTTTTAGTCGTTCTCATGATTTTTTCTATTTTTAGTAAGGACATTTTTGTCTATTCATATTTTTCTTTTGTTATTTTTTCGGTTTCAACCAATTTAATTGGTTTAGGACTTTACTAAAAATTGGTTGAAAAATATGGTTACTAAAAATCAGAGGTTACATAATGTATATTATTCTAACTCATAATGTACATTATTCTAATTCATAAAATTCAACAACGACGTTTTGGACCGCAGTTGTGTGGACCGTAATTTACCCGATGGGGCCAATGTCCAATTATCCATTTTATTTTAAAATATAAGCAAGATTCAGATCGGACGAAACGTCGTTTGAGAACTCGATTCAATATCCTAAATATGGTTCGCCTCAAACCCATAGAAAAGAAAAATCGACGACTAGAACTCTATTGTAACTAGGACTCTAGGAGTGTAAATGAGCCGAGCTGCTCAACTCGAGTTCGAGTGGCTCATCTAATAATCGAGCTCGAGCCAAACTCAAATATTCTAACTCGTCGCTCGTCAAGCCGCTCACGAGCCATATATAGGAGGGATCAGGTGCGGGTGGTGCTTCCCGTGCAATTGTGCGGGCGGACTCACATTAAGCATTACACTTGCGCACTTTAAGTACACAACAGACGCACATTAAACACACAAACAAAATACATTCAGAACACAAATTTACGCACCTTAAGCACAAAACTCACGCATCTTAAGCACACCCTCACGCAACTTAAGCACAAAAACATACACACACATTAAAATTTAACAACAAGTCACATTAAGTACACACTCACGCACATTAAGTACAAAACTCACGCACCTAAAGCACAAGACTTACGCACCTTAAGCACAAAACTCACGCACATTAAGCACAAAACTCATGCACTTTAAAGTTTCAAGAACAACTCACATTAAGTACACACTCATGCACATTAAGCACACAACTCACGCACCTTAGGTACAACACTCATGCACCTTAAGTACAAAACTCACGCACATTAAGCACTACACACTCACGCACATTAAACACAAACCTCACGCACCTTAAGCACAAGACTCACGCACATTAAGTACAAAACTCACGCTCATTAATCACTTGCATAATCGCACGAGAAGCATTCACCCGCGCACAGGAACTTAAACATATATAATAATAATAATAATAATAATTAAATTTCAAGCCCCAGCCCCCAATTACTAATCGGCTAATCCCTATTCTCTACTCTTCTATCGCTTCCCCGTCTTCCCCCAACTCCAGTCTCCGACAACTGCCGAGTTCCGACTACAAAGCTGCTGTCGACGACACCGGAAGACTCCGCGTCTCCTCTCCGGTCTCCGCCTCCGCCCTTGCCGACGACGAAGCTACTGTCTAGTCTCCGCCTCAGCCCCTGCCGACGACGAAGCTGCTGTCCGGTCTCTGCCTCAGCCCCTGCAGACGACGAAGCTGCTGCCCGTTCTCCGCCTTAGCCTCCCCTGTGAATCAAGGTAGCTCCTGGAATCTGGATTACTCATTACTCATTACTGCAATGAAATTCATAAATTTGTGAAATTTATAACGTGTGCTGGACTGCTGGTTAACCTGGTTTGCAATTGATTTATAATTTAGGTTAATGTTTCATGTTAAATTGATATCAACTATGTTTTTTTTTGTTTGTTTGGTTCAATTATGAAAAAATACGTTAAAATAATTAAGAATATCTATGTTTTAGGATTGTTGTATTCAAAATTTAGAAGAACTTGAAGTTATTCTCTTCCCTATTCAACTGTAATCCAGGCTCTGCCATTGGTGCCAATTCCAGTTTATGGTTTTCCCTTTTGCTAGGTAATGGCCTTATAAAATCCCTTTTACTTTGCTCTCGAAATTAATCCCATACTTTGGGTATAAAATTTATACTTTAATACTTTTGGGTATAAAATTTGCAATCATGAATCATAAACAGTAGCCGATATTTTTTGTTGAACTTGTGTCTGAGTTGAATGCTGCAAAATCCAAGACAAATAAAAACATGAAATTGCATTGCAAAGAAAACAAGAAAAGATGCTAAGGATATCCAACAGTATCTGAACATAATATTGGCATTTGGCAATATGCTAATTTGTTTTGTTTTGCATATTGCATTCACAGTGAATTAACATAGGGTAGGAACCATACTAGGATGATGATTAAATATGTTATGGTTGTTGAGGTATGATTATGTTATCTAATATTATGCATATTTTTTGCAAGTTGAACAATTATTTCTTGTTTTGAACTTCATATCACGGAAGAAATATCTATGTACTAGGAATCAAGGACCACTGTTGTAGTGTTGTTGACTTGTATTTTGATGTGATGTGAAGTTGTGAACTTATTTTGAGTACTTTAAAGTTTGAACAATGTTGTTGACTTCTAGACTTGTAGTTTGTTGCGAAGTTGTGAACTTGTTTTGAGTGCTTAGAACATTGAAGTTTGGATTTTTGAATTTTTAAGTTTTTTTTTTTTTTTTTAAAAAAAATTATTTATGTATGGGTACAAGTGCAACAATTTTTATTATTAATGAAAACATGAAGTTAAATAGGACGAGCTTGAACTCGAGCATAAAATTTCGAGCAACATTACTCGAGCTCGAGCTCAAATTCGAGCCATTTCAAGTTGAACTTGGGGTCGAGCTCGAGTTTGAGTTTGAACAGTCAAGCTAACAAGCCGAGCTCGAGTTTGAGTTTGAACAGTCAAGCTAACGAGCCGAGCTCAAACTGCTCGAAATTTCAGGAGCTCGAGCTCTAAATTTCGAGCTCGAGCTCACCCAGTCTTACTCGAGCTCGGCTCGACTCATTTACACCCCTAATTGCAACTCAGCATAAATGCTCGCTCAGTCTACCAGAGCTCTGAAGTCCTCCGTCACTGCGCTCTGGTTTCAGGTCGGGGATCCATCGGAGATTCAACAGAGAAAGAGAGACGGTGGGGAGAGATGAAGTTCCAAATCGAAGACGTAGTGGTGTACTTTCCGTACGACAACATATACCCCGAGCAGTACCAGTATATGCTGGAGCTGAAGCGTGCGTTGGATGCTAAAGGCCACTGCCTTCTGGAGATGCCGACGGGGACCGGAAAAACCATAGCCTTGCTGTCTTTGATCACCAGTTACCAGCTGTCGAAGCCGGCTGATAAGATTAAGCTCCTTTATTGCACTCGAACCGTTCATGAGATGGAGAAAACCTTAGCAGAACTCAAGCTGCTGTATAACTACCAGCTCAAAAACTGTGGAGATCGCGCCAAAATGCTCGCTATTGGGCTGTCGTCAAGGAAGAATTTGTGCGTTAATCCCGACGTGGTTTCCGCCGAGAATCGGGATTCTGTTGACGCCGCTTGTCGAAAGCTCACCGCCAGTTGGGTCCGGTCCTTAGCTGCGGAAAACCCCAACATTCCTACTTGTCCATTTTTTGAGAATTACGAGAGGACGTCTGCTGATACCTCCTTGCCTTCCGGTGTTTATACTCTGCAGGTTCAAATTTTTATCTCCTTCCGGTTTCATTTGATTACCGATAATGTCTCGTTTTTTAATGCTCGTGGCTGCTAAATTAAATTCAGCATATTTAGTTTCTTATGCTTAATATTTTCTGTTGGATGGGGGTTTATTAATCATGTTTAACCACAATCCTTACAGGATCTTAAAGTTTTTGGTAAAGAGAAAGGTTGGTGCCCTTACTTTCTAGCACGCCATATGGTGCAGCGTGCAGATGTGGTGGTTTATAGCTACCAATACCTTCTTGATCCAAAAGTTGCTGGTATCATATCTAAGGAGATGCAAAGAGAGAGTGTTGTGGTGTTTGATGAGGCTCACAACATTGATAATGTATGTATCGAGGCACTTAGTGTGAGTGTAAGGAGGCAGACACTTGAAGGGGCAACAAGGAATCTAAATAGGATGTCACAGGAGATTGATAGGTAAATGTTTTGTTCAAGATGCCTTCTTTAGGTGGTGGCTGGTAGTTTTACTAGTGGTTACTTCCAATAAGCGCTAGTTCTATGCTTTCGTCTGCTTTGTGTTTTCCTGTTAGTCTCGACAACTTTGAGACAATTTGTTTGAACTTTGATTGACTTGGTAGGAAGGTTGAAGGCCACGGATGCTGGTCGGTTGCGTGCAGAGTATAATCGTCTAGTTGATGGTCTTGCACAAAGGGGCAACCTTCCCAGTAAGTTCAATTCAGTTCTTTAACTGTTAGTTGAATTGTACAATTCTAACTTTTAATGGTAAACATGGAATGCACACTTAAACCTCCTTCTGCAGTTTCGGATGCATGGCTTGCAAATCCCTCATTGCCAGATGATATCTTAAAGGAAGCAGTTCCAGGAAATATAAGGCGAGCAGAACATTTCTTGTCTGTGTTGCGGAGACTAGTTCAGTACCTTAAAGGGAGATTACAGGCTGAGAATGTTGAAAAAGAGGGGCCTGTTTCCTTTGTTGCTTCAATCAATGCACACGTTGGAATTGATCAGAAAATGTTGAGATTTTGTTATGACAGGCTTCATTCACTCATGTTGACTCTGGAGATCACTGATACTGATGACTTTTTACATATCCAAACCATATGTGACCTTGCAACATTGGTGGGGACATACACAAGAGGATTCTCAATTATAATCGAACCTTTTGATGAGAGAATGCCAGATATTCCTGATCCTGTTCTTCAGGTTTGTTTCTAATGAATGGTTTCATTTCAAATCAAATGATACAGTGCTGATTGTTTCACATTAACTCCTACAAAAGGTCATAGTTGAGAAGCATATTCGCCTTAATAAATGCCTCCAGTTAGCCTTAAGTGGATACGGTATGCCCTGGATTGAATTATTTGTTTTCAATCTCTCATTGGTAGTTTAATTATCATAAGGTTATAGACTCTGTTAAACTTTTGCTGAAAAATCTGTGAGCTTATTTTATTAAATGCTATTAGTTTCCTTCTCCTATTCTTGAACTAACTGGCCGCCTTCTTTTTACCATTTCATTATTATTGGTGCTCTTACAAAATATTTTTTTTGACATCCCAGCTAAGCTGTCATGACGCTTCTATTGCCATAAAGCCTGTATTTGAACGTTTCCAGTCCGTTGTTATAACCTCTGGGACACTCAGCCCAATTGATCTTTACCCTCGTCTTCTCAACTTCAATCCAGTATGTAGTCGGAGTTTTAAAATGTCATTGACGAGGGATTGCATATGTCCTATGGTTCTCACTCGGGGAAGGTATTGTTTCAGCCAACTTAGCTTCTGTTTATACAATTGTCAACCTTCCTTTTCTTATTCATTTTATTTTCTTAACTACATTGGTGCTGCTTGTTTAAATAACTTCTACCCTTTTCTACTTCTCTATTTCTAGTGATCAGCTTCCTGTGAGCACAAAATATGATCTAAGAAGTGATCCTGGTGTGGAGAAAAATTATGGGAAGCTTTTGTTAGAAATGGCATCCATTGTTCCAGATGGGATTGTCTGTTTCTTTGTCAGTTATTCTTATATGGATGGAATAGTCAATAGTTGGCACAACTCTGGACTTCTAAAGGTGAAAATCTGCAACCCGATTTAGTCTCTTTTTTTGCTTGTCAGATGGAACTCTTTTCATTTTCTTTGTCTAAATTCTTTATTAATACGGAGTACATATCTTTATTAATTTCCCCCTTTTTATCTTGTTTGCCCGGCTCCCTGTCCTTGCTCATTTGTGGTAGCTTAGGGTGCCAGGCGTGTTGCTATTTTCTTTTGGCATTTCTCTTATTTTTTCCCAATTCATGCCACAGGATATAATGCAGCATAAACTAGTCTTCATTGAAACCCAAGATGTCGTAGAGACTACATTGGCTTTGGATAACTATCGCAGAGCTTGTGATTGTGGGAGGGGTGCTATTTTCTTCTCTGTTGCAAGGTAGATCCTTGGCATACTTGAATCTCGAATTCACCATTGACCACTACTGGATTTGTACTTAAATCTACAAATACGTTATTTTTACTACTTACCGAAAAACCATGTCAATTTATTTCCATTGCAGGGGGAAAGTAGCTGAAGGTATAGACTTTGATAGACATTATGGAAGGCTTGTTATCATGTTTGGGGTTCCTTTCCAGTACACATTAAGCAGGTAAACTGAAATAGATTTCGATAGTTACATTCTACTTTGCTTGATTGTATGCCACGTGCATCTGACCCGTTCTATATTGCAGAATATTGCTTGCAAGACTGGAGTACCTAAGGGAGACTTTCCAGATCAAAGAGGGTGATTTTCTGACATTTGATGCTCTGGTATTGACCGATCCTGCTGAAATTTGAATTTTGCAGTTCTCTATTTTTCCCCAATAGTTTCTAATTTAGCCTTCACTTTCCAGAGACAAGCTGCACAATGTGTAGGACGAGTTATTCGTTCAAAGGCAGATTATGGGATGATGATTTTCGCTGACAAGAGGTTTGTGTCCTTTATTTGACATCGTATAATTCTTTCCAAAATCTAGACCGAGGAACAAATGAACAAATACTTTGCTAAAATTAGTATGCCGTACTATTTGGATATTTGTCAATCACAATGGATCTTTACACGGATGATCGATGTGTTCAGGTATAGCCGACATGACAAGCGATCTAAGTTGCCAGGATGGATATTGTCGCATTTACGAGATGCACACCTGAACTTGAGCACAGACATGTCCATTCACATAGCAAAGGAGGTATTTATTTACTATAAACAAACCATGTGATTTCGTCTCTTCCCCACTGACTCCAAATTTTCTTCGATATTATGGGGGGTATTCGGGAACCAAAGATCCCCGCTCCTAATCCCCTTTGCTACGCCCAATGCAGTTCCTACGCAAAATGGCACAGCCGTATGATAAAAGCGGCGCTCTGGGCAAGAAAACACTCCTGTCACAGGAGGATTTGGAGAAGATGGTTACTGGCCCTGATGGGGAAATGCTGGGTTGAGGATCCATTATCTGACTGGGAATATTCTGAATTTCTGTAAGAACTTTTTTGTTTTCTTTGTTTTTTTTTTTCTCCTTTCTTCCCCAATTGTTTTTCTAATTTATTCATGAAATCAGTCTGAATGAATAGATTTTGCTCTGATATTATCAACTGGATCATTTTTTGTGTAATCCATTCCATTGTAACAATAACAGCAGTATTATAAATTTACAGTGACAACAAGAGTTTACACGACTAGACTACTAGTGGCTACCTTGCAGCAGATGCATGTATGAATATTTCTCCATAGCTAAAACTGAGGAATTATACTATGAATTGCCTTTTTCACTTCCATGATTGTTGCTTTCCTGCCTTTCATATTTTCTTTTAGCTGAAAACACAAACATTAAACACAATAATTAAGTAAAATGGTTTGCACCCAATCCCACTCCAAATGTATAACATAAAGAGAAAATGATTCAATTATACTTTTTTTTTTTTTTTTTTTTTTTTTTTTTTGGGATAATGAGTGAAACTGTAGTCACTATCCGAAGGTGTGCTCTTGTGTAATAGGTTCGACTGAAAGAGTGTTAGCAAGAATTGAACTTCTGATATTTTTGTAGTCATCCAGGGGCTTCTTGTCACTTTTCTTCTTCTTCTAATTATTTGTGAAGTAATTTTTTTTTTTTGTTTATTATAAACGAAAAATGCTATTTTTCTATACTTTTGATGTGAAAAGTTTTATTTTTTTTAAAATAAAATAAAAAATACTTATGGCCTTTTGATTATTTTAGGGTTTTGGAATGTTGGTCATAATATGTTTAAATGTAATTCCTAGAATGTTAGGGTTTTATAACGACTTTAATAAGTGAGGGATTAAAATATATTTTTGGTACACCATACCTTAGCTCTCAATTCAGCACAAAAGATCCCACCGTTAACAGAAGATTGGACGGTGGTGATTTCAAGTCCAAGCTCTTTAAGCATCTGCATGACATCCAAGATTAAGCCCTGCCTGTAAGTGCATCGCAGCTCCACCAGTGCATCGCTCTCGATGATAGAAACTTCCACTTGAACCACCGCGTCCTCCTCCGTGTTATTCTCCGGCCGGCCGCCTCTCTCTGCCGTCCTCGTCCCCCTCTTATTCAGCCTGGGACCCATCTGAGTTCTGGAGGCCCCACTTTTCTGGGGTGGATTCTTTCGTGTAACCCCGCCGGTAATCGACTGCCGGTCAACCTCCGTCGGCGCCTCCAGCTCCTGGATTCTCCGGCGCAACTGCTTGACGTACTCAATGGTGTCGCCGAGAATGGAGGCCTTGTCCATTTTCGTCACGAAAGGCACGAGCGACCTGAGGATAATGAACCGCTCGTTGAGCTTCTCCCGGCGGCGGCGCTCCGCCAGGACGTGATTGACGTTGGGCTCTTCTTGGGGTGCGGCCTTGCAGAGCTTAGACGACGGAATAGTATCAGCGCCGCCGCCGCAGTGAGAGTTCTTTGCGTGGAGAAACGGGACGGTGAGAAGGGTGTATTTGAGGACCCACTGGGCGGAGCGGTGGCTGGAACAGGTGGAGCTGGCGGCGGTGGTCCACCGTGAGAAGGCGGAGCTGGCGGAGTGGACCACGTAGTCTGCGGCGGCAACGGTGGTTGAGAAGTCGGACCACTGGCCACATTGATGTCGGAGGATGCTCGATATTGTTTCGGAGTAATGCGTGTCCTCTCGTGGAAATTCCTCCAACATAGGGGCTCCTGTGCAAATACATTTAATATTAGTGTCTTTAATGCATATTTAATATTTCATTATCCGATTCTCCATCTCCAAATTATAAATATTTAAAGAAAAATAACAATACTATATCCTTCAAAAATAACAATACTATATATTATAATCAAAATTAATTGTGTTAGAACCTTCTTTACTAGGTATAGTCGTACAGATTTTAAGGTTGTATTAAGTACTGACGTTTGTCCTCATAATTCTTTATTAGATAGTATCTGTTTTATTTTATACTTCCTTAACCATTTTCAGTTTAAAGAATCTAAACTCTTACCGCCATCCCACCGGGTTCCGGGATGCTATTACACTACATGGCAGCTGACAGACAATTTTGACTTAATTGATCACTATTAGCAGTTGAGTGTTTGATTAATTAGCTTTTTGTAACAACTTATTGTTTCAAAATGTTAAAATTTTAAAAATGACTCATTTTCGATCAACTTTTAAAAAAATTATTTTGCATGTAATGAGCTTTCAGCTAATTAACAGCTAATTGAGCAAACACTTTTCCACAATCAACTAGTCAAATCCACTAATCAAATCAACTAACAAGCTATCAACTAATAGCTATTTACCAAACAGTAGTACTTGATATAACTCTAAGAAAGGACAATAGATAAGAGGAAATAGAAGGTATATATACCTTGATGATGAGATAAGAAAGTAGGGTTTTGCATTTGGGGAAGAAGATGAAAATCTGAATCCAAGTCGGTGGAGGCATCGTCGGGCGGCGTTCCCACCCGAATACTCTCCGACATGTCAAACTGCATCAGCTCGCTAGCCCCCACGTTCGTTTCCGCCACCACAGCGTTAATGTTCTGCTCCTCCTCCTCCTCCGCCGCCGCCATAACATGGTCGCCGGTTTGGTGGTTCTTAGGGCCGACGTCAGCATCCGACTCCAACTCTTCTTCTTCATCTTCTTCTTCTTCCTCGTCTTCCTCCTCCTCCTCCTCCTCCTCCTCGTCTTCCTCTTCCTCCTCGTCTTCCTCTTCGGCTCGGACTTGACGGTGGTGGTGGTGGTGGTGGCCGGAAGCCATGGCCGGGGAATGTAATTGTTGAGACGGCGGCTCCGATGAGGAGTGCTCAGATAATGCAGGCTTTGGATGATTATGATGGTGTTGGGGCTCCATAAAATGGTTCTTGATATGTTGGATGAATTCATAGTCTTCTTTAACCTAACATTAAAACCCTCAAATTTAAACCTTCAATTTCCCAAAAAATCTACCACCACTATGGGATAGATAGATATGTTTTTGAAAATTGAAACATGTACTCCATCTCAACTAAATTTTTTTTTGACCGTTTGTAAGCACACCTATGACATGAGCCTGGCAATGATATAAAATTGAAGCATTTGCTACATTTTAACAGAACCTAATTAACGGGCTCAAATTGAAAGAATCAACCGTCAGACTGACGGGGTTTCCCAGCAAATTTAATATGTTAGTTATACTTTGTATATACTTATAGATATAAAATTATAGTGATATGTACCCTTTCCGTTGTTCCCAGTTCAACCACGCCATCCATTAGAGGAATGCAAACGACAGTCTGCACGAAAACATCGTACATAAACAATATAATTAATCTACGTACTGTAAAAAGGATGAAAGTTAAGGTTTGCATGCATGCATATACGTAGGAATTAAATGATATACCTGTATTCGAGCACTCTATTGCGTATCGGAGTAGCATTTACCACGGTTCAAGTACCAAAGAAACACCAAAATAATCAAAATTAATCACAATAAAAACATATGTAAGTCAAATAATCATATTATTATTAAAAGGGTTTTGGTTCATTGTTCATTATTTAGGTTTATGAACAAGGGGTTTGGTTCATTATATTGTTCATTATTAATGACTTTATGGTACGAGATTTATGCTTTACCTACTCGATTATCCCTTTTGGTGGTATAGCTTACTATCAGCTTATTAGATTGTGTGGTACCTTAGCGAGAATTGCTCGGGAAAAGACTTTGCTTTCGACCTCATTTGCACCGGTGAGCCATATATGCTGCCGTTTTGCATAGGCCTTGCCTGGTAACCTGCATATATATTAAGTAGGTGCATATTAAGTAAACTTCGAATTCGTAAGGGCTAAAATGAGAAAATATTGACAAGAATTAAATTTGTGACTTTTTAATATAATGACACACTTTATTTACTGGACCATCATTTCGGACAAATTTACACTTTCTTTAAATCCTTGTAGTGGTAGGCTATGCAGCTTTTACTTTAATTAAATTTGCATCTTATGTCACAACCAACCCTAGTCCCCCCCTTTCTTCATATAGTAAACTTTGGATTTCGCAGTTTCCCTAATCAATGATCTCCAACCCCTAAAACAGCATTTTGAATCCTACAATATTAATGTCTCCGATAACTACATATGTGATCAAATTAACATTCAAATCTTATGTCTAGGTCTTCCATATTATTACTGAAGTTGAATATCTAGTGAATATATACATGATATTTGTTACGTGGGCTGAATTAGTAGACTCAAGGATATAGTGAATTGAATAAATAATTAGTTGCGAATTGAATGTAACTATATATATATAAATCAATTCTTAAATTCATATATAGTTTCAACTAAAGATAATATATATCTACTGGTCCCTCATTGTTATTGCTCCCAGACACGGTTGGCTATCCAGCTAATAGAAAATAGCATTCAACCAAACTCTATCCTTTTCATAGAGAATAGTATAATTTTATCTATTGAGCCTGTCCGCAGTAAATCCTAAATTTTCAAGTTTGTAATAATTTATACAGGAGAATTTGTTTTCAGATCATGCCCTAATATTTCGATCCTCACTTTTTAAATGACTATGGGAGTGTTTGGTAAATAATTGTTAACTGATTGAGTTAGTGGGTTTGATGACAACATTAGCTGATTGTAGAAAAGTGTTTGGTAAATTAGCTGATAGTTGATAGCTGTTTACATAATCTTATAGAAAAAACTGGTTTGAACAGCTTTTTGAATTTTAACATTATTTTAGAGCAATAATCTGTTACAAAAAACTAATTAATCAGACACCCATATTGATTGTTTAACCAAGTAGTCAATTAGCTAATAGTGGTCAAATAAACCAAAATTGACGGTTAAGCTAACTATATATTACCAAATAGGGCATGTTTTCATTTGATCATGCTCCTAGTTGAGTGGTAATTGAAGTTTAAGGTATTCTTTTTAGGTGTTTTTAGGGTTTTTACTGTCTCGAACAAAGTGACTAATCTCTCGCTGAATTGTAGGCAGTCTTAATATACGTACCCGACGGCAGATGGAAAAGAGAAGGAGATGCACATGAGGTAGAACCACTCGGACTCCGTCAAGTCCTCCGGCGACAAGGCGGCGGAGGGGCGTCGTGCCGGCTGCTGGCCGCCGCCGCCGTTTGATTCTTCGGCGGTGGCGGAGAGGGACTCGTACAGCTCCTTAATCTGCTGACTTCTATGGAGGGAAGCCTCTTCCGCACTAACCTCCGTCCCTTGCACCGTCTTCCTCGTCTTTATCGCTCCGTTATAATACCCATCGCTCCACACCAACATCCTACGCCCACAAATTCACATAAATTAAACACTTTTGATCAAATTAAACAACAATATAATATATATAATGTAGTTAAAATAGTTTTTATATACCCATTGTGTGGACAAAGATTCCAGAAAAGACTGTAAGTCCAGTGAACAGATTGAACTGCAGTTTGCAGCAAGGTTTGCAGGTGGGCGGCGCCGCCAGGGGTTTCCGCCATTACTATAGACCAAGCGGAGGAGGAGGTGATGCATGCATGGCGGATCGGATCTCCGGTGGAATCTCGATGACGATGATGATGAATTGAAGATGGAAGATCTAGACAGAGTGGATTACATAGGAAAGAGTTACGTTGAAGGAGAGGGCAGTGAAGTAGATGAGAGGGTTAAGGTTTGGTGAATCGAATTTATTTGTCGGGGAGTTACGTTGGATCTTGACTGGTTGGTGTCAACCGGTCGGATATAGGGACTAGGGAAAGACACGACAAAAGAGGGGAATTCAAGATCGGGTTTTTGTCCTTGCCTTTTATGTGTCCCACGTGTATCATATTAGTGTCACGAGTTCTACTCTCAAATCTTACTCTCTCAATTTTATTTCTTGATGTGACAATACAAGTGTTTACATTAAGATTTTGTACGTGAGAATAAAAATTGGGAATATAAAATAGGAGACACATAACATTTTTTTTTTAGTTAGTTAAGATTCTAAGCTCTAATTAATTCTAAACATTCATTGCCACTACACGCAAGAACTGCTAGGAGAAGTAAATCGCAAGTTGTCTCATCAGTCTTCAAGTCTTCATCTATCCCTTGTTTGTACACTTTGTGCACAAGGGATCTTCATCATCTCTGATCGGTCAAGAGTATGCCTATTTTTTTTTTCTTTTTTTAGTACTATTAACTCTGTTACAAAGTAATATTCGTTCTATACTTAATTTCTCTATCTGTTGCGGCTCAAAGAGTCAATACCCCATCACCGGAGTTCAATCATGTGACCTTCATTTAAGGAGAGCGACAGATGTGTCATCTGAGTACAAGGTGCTTGGCAGTATGACTATTTTTTTTGTTCCTATAGCTTTTTTTTTTTTTTTTTTTTTTTTTTTTTTTTTTTTTTAAAGAAAACCCATTGTTATTATCTGAGAACGTATATTGGGTAAATTTTATAATGTGTAATAACAGTATAACACGTAAACCACACTGCAGAAGTAAACTACACGAAGAAGATTATATTTTGTGCGACAAGCTCGACTAAAAAAGTTTTGACAAAAATCAAATTTGTGATCGATCTTTTAAGTATTCTCTCTAACCTACTAAATGAAAAATTAAACAGCAGGGTGACTTATTTGAATAAAATACAATTCTCATACTTAAAATTAAAGTTATGTGTGACTACAAATTTTTTCTCTTCCCCTTCACCCAAAAATATCTTAAAAAGCATTTTATTTCTCAAAAATTATATTTATTTGTCACTGTCGAAGCCTAAAGATTGAATCTGCAGACAGCAACGTTACGTTGTTTGTACTTGTTTTTGTTCACAAAAAAGTTATGATTTTGATGCTAGAACATGTGATTGATACATTAGCTGGAATATAATCGTAATTACTCAATTGCGATTCACAAATAATTATTTTTTATACATTAAATAATAATAGTTTGATTTTCAATGAATTATGAATTCTTAAATATATAAGCTTCATTCAATAATGTTAACCAACTTTATAAAAGTTGAATTATAAATATATAGATTGTGACTACTCTGATCTCGACTCTTTCCTACCCTTCTCATTCTTCTTATATCATCTACCATTCTATTGCCTAATTAGTCCAACACCCATATATATAAAATGCTAAATGATAACTGGTAAGAACACGCAGACTAATCTTATCTATCTATTTACTATTTAAAATAATCAAATGTTAAAAATTAATGGAAAATGGGGAAAATTGCGATATGTTTCTATAACTACAATAGTGTATTTGAAAATGTTTAATTGATAGTACATACATTGGTAACTAAATAGTTATGCACTGTTAGTTACCCGCTGATGCAATTTCAAGTTTTACCATACTATGAGTATAGGAAGATTCCCGACTAAGAAGATATTGGCAAGAACCAAACTCGTAATTTTCAAGTATAAGAATCATATTTCACTCACTTAATCCCTTTCAGGCATAATATATGATATATTAAAGTTTAAGAAATAAAGTCTTGAATTTTATAGTGTAATTTTGTTAATCGTGTGTCAATTGATACAATAGTGTTGATATAATGAAATTAGTGTCTGTGAAAAATAAAACTAAAAAACATAGCTCATGCAAAATAATGTATATTGTCAATGAAGTATAATTAAAATGATACTTCAACATTATTACTATAATGGATTGAAATTAGTGTCTGGAAAATGAAATTAAAAACATGGTATGTATAATAACATATATTGTCAGATCATACTGAAATGTAATTAAAATGATACTTCAACGTCACTATAATGAAACTTATGTGTATGAAAAATGAAACCAAAAAACAGAACTTATACAATTACGTATATTGTCAAATGAACATAAAGTATAATTAAAATGATACTTTATCATTACTATAATGAAATTAGTGCATGTGAAAAATAAAACTAAAAAGCAGAGCTCATACAATAATATATATATATATATATATATATATATATATATATATATATATATAGTCAAATAAAATTGAAGTGTAAATAAAATGATACGATGTCATTTTACTTCATGATCTACGTTGCTACATGGATCATGGTCAATAGTAAAATTTATCCAATTGATAGTGGGAATGAAAGCATATTTTGGGCCATATAGTCACAATTGGGCAAATAAAACTTGGAATATCATTGTGTTGTGGGCCTGGTCCACAATTGATAGCCCATCCACTGGCAAATTATGTTGTGCATCCGTATGCACCATGCATGGTGCATACGGATGCAAAAACGACGTCGTTTTAATAAAACGCACGTCTCCCCTTAAAAAAAAAATCAAGTTCGATTCCCAGCAACAATATATGAACTAAAATTCCATAATCGATGAATTATAATTCCATAATCTAATCTATGAACTAAAAATTCCAGAATGAATGAACTAAAATTCCATAATATATACACTAAAATTTCAGAATCGATGAACTACAATTCTATAATCGATGAACTATAATTCCATAATCAATTAACTATAATTCCATAATCTATGAACTAAAATTCCAGAAAGAAAGAACAATATAATGTTGTTGCTGGGAATCGAACCTGAATTTTTTTTAAAGGGGAGACGCGCGTTTTTTAATAAAACGACGTCATTTTGGCATCCGTATGCACCATGCATGGTGCATACGGATGCACATCATAACGATTGATCATCACTCTAGGTCGATTTTTTCCATACATGCCCATCTTATACGGATTAACTTATTAGAGATTTATCTATTCAAAGGGGTATAAGCGGAATTATACATATGGGTGAAGGTCGGTTCTTTTCGATTTAGTGATACCCAAATTTTATTTTGAATAAACAAAACAACTAGCCTTGAGGCTTTATTCCTCGGAGTTGTTTACCCGTCGATTTTTGTAATGCTTTTAAGTCTTATAATTTGTTTATTTTTATACTGATTTTTAACGAGAATCATGCATATTTTACCCATACAATCATCTTTTCCAGGGCATAGCTAATTAGTTTGGATTTTTAAGAGGTGTTGGCTCACGACCTCACGTAGAAATAGTTTGAGATGAAATCGGGGGTTGAACACATGTTCATATAGTAACACTTTTTAAAAAGTTATCATCAAATGAGATTCATCGACCCATAAATGTAATTTGAAAGTATATATTTTGATCTTTACTAAAAATATATATACATAACTATTAGCCAAAGTGTTGGAGACAGATACCTAATTATTGGAATTTTGTATCTGAATTGCAACTGACATATGTTGTGGGCTGCATGTTTGTCACTTAATATAGAGAAATTAATTTGTTTAGTGGTCTCACCACTATACATTATCTCTCTCTCTCTATCATTTATAATATTACACAATGTGCCTTTAATGGAATATGTTACCTTTTTTTTTTTTTTTTTTTTTTTTTTTTTTTTTTTTTTTTTGACTCTGTTACAATACAGTATCTGTTCATAATTACTTTCACAACAAATTAAGATTCAAATCCACAATCTCTCATACGAGAGAACAATTTGGTGTTACTAGACCACAAGGTCCTTGACTCGAATATGTTACATATTCTTTATAAATATATTTTCCTTATACTTGCCTGATGCAGTGGCCCTTTAAGCCTCCATGTTAGATCAAGCGTCACTATGCTAAAAGTTATAGTTAATAATAAATACATAATTTTATTTCATAACTTGCTAATTTGAACCCGTGACTTATTCTGATACTAATTGTCAGATCAAACATTTATCAATATGTCAAAGGTTATAGCTAGTAACAAATACACAATTTCATTTTCTTATCTTATGTAGCCGTTAACACCACGTTTCAACGATAAATTATTAGACTTAACTTCACAAACCTCAGGCCAACAATCCAACAATATTTATACTCTTTATAATTATATTATCCTCATTTTTTCTGTTAAATCATTAATTAAATATTTTGAGTAAGCCGTAACTACATAAAACACTTTTAATATATATATATATATATATATATATATATATATATATATATATATATATATATATATATATATGGCAAATTTTTATGCGGACCATAAAAAATTACATTGTAATTAAATAATGTATTTTTAGTATATTAACAATGTAATTTTTTATGGTCCGCATAAAAATTTGCCATATATATATATATATATATATATATATATATATATATATATATATATATATATATATATATATGGCAAATTTTTATACGGACCATAAAAAATTACATTTTTAATATACTAAAAATACATTATTTAATATGAAATAGTAAATGTACTTTCAATACTCAAATAATATATTTTATGTACATAAATAATATTTTTTTTATGGCCCAACAATAATGATTGATATTGAAACTAGTCCTCCTTGGTATTGGACTGACCCAATTATATTATCCTCATTGATATCACTAACAAAAACAAATATTTAATCAAACCAAACATCATAGGCAAAAACTTCCGATCCTATTCTTATCATCATTTGTTATCACAAACTTAATTAGCTCGCACGTTCTAGAATACTGCCGATCAAAAACCTTAATTGAATATTGCGTCATAGAAAAGTCAGCAAAGCAATATCCCCAGCTCAATGGCTTTAAAAAAAAATGAGTGATGGAACAAAGCTATAATCACTATTCGAGAATATGTATAAGTAATCATATTTTGCTAGCTTATGTATATAAACCATCGCGTACACAAAAGAAGTAAATGGTA